GGTATGTGTGCACCACATAAAACAGATCCTGCAGCACACTGTGTATAATGAGAGAAAAAAAATGAAATCATGATTTTTCGATTAAAACAGCAACTTTGCAGTGTTTTTTCGTATGTTTTTTATAGTTGTATTTGCGATTTTTTGGTCTCATTTGATAGAATGGAAGACATATTTCAGAAATAGAGATGATTTTGATTAGTTTAGCAATGGAAATGGCTTGAAACGAGCTGTCAAAGAGCAGAAATGTTAAATTTTGCGATATTCAAGATGTAAACAAACGACCTCGACACTCTAATACACGTCAGCTGGTGGGTTCCTAATATACATTCACAAATATGGTGATGAATATTTATACAATTATTACAGTCATTGCATAACACGTAAATCTTCCTATTTTTTGGTGTGGAATAAAAATCATTATGTGAATTAAAATAAATATGGAATATTATTTGTAAAGCCTCAAACATAACTAATGAACAGAGGAAATGTTAGTTTAGTTGCAGGAATGCCTACATTGTTCATGTCTGGACCCTATTTTGAAATTGGAATATTTAGTACTTTGTGTTAAAATTGGCCAAATAAACAATTTTCCGACACTGATTATTTGTAGTTGAAACAGTTGACTTGCGATTTCTTGTGCTAAATCGATTGAATAGAAGTAATACTAGGAAAAACTGAGAATTTGGTCGACTGGAATAATGTAATTGGTGCCTAAAATGGGGAGTCAAAAGTCGGCAAATCGCCGATTCATAAATATCAGCTGACACAGTCAAAATGTCGCGAGAGCATAATTTCGTCAATTTTCCATCAAATTTCGTAACTTTTTGTTTATTACCCTCACAAAAAGATTCTCAAGCATTTCATAAGCAAAAATAACTAATTTTTTTTTTTTTAAATTCTTGGACACTGGGGCACCACTTCAGATTTTGGCCTTGGACCCTGAAGGGGTTAACTGCCTATCTTCCGACCTCCCATTTGCTTGAGCATCCAGCACTTGTGAGAGTGCATGAGACAAGAGGGTTTTAATGGGATCTGTTGATGGAGTGTGAGCATGGTAAGGTTTTTTTATGGAATTCAGGGAAACGTAGGTTCCACTGAAACTTGAGTCCTGGAGGAGGGAAGGGCTGTGGCCACACACTGATGGAGGGGTGGTAAGGTTGCAGTCAGGGGGCAATCTAAATGTAATGTCAGCACATTTCAAGCATTACAGTAATTGAATGAATTGTTTCCTTTCATTGGGTCATCCACTTTCTTCTTCTTCTCCTTTTCTTCTTCTTCTTTCTTCTTCTCTCTTCTCTTCTTCTCTTCATTTTCTTCTTCTTCTCTCTTCTTCTTCTTCTTCATCTTCTTCTCTTCTTCTTCTTCTTCTTCTTCTTCTTCTTCCTTCTTCTTTCTTTCTTCATCTCTTCCTTCATTCATCCTTGCTTCCTACTTCCTTCTTCCTTCTCCTTCCTTCTTCTTCTTCTTCTTCTTCTTATTCGTCCTCCTCCTCTCCACCACACCGGCCGTATCCACAAGGCGGGGTGGCCCAAAAGGAAAAAAGAGAGCTTCTCCTTTTACGTTAGTAATAATACAGGAAAGGGGGTTACTAGGCCCCTTGCACATTCATAGCTTACGAGGAAGAAATTCTTCCACTTCCGCATGGAGAGAACAGGAAATAAACAAGAACAAGAACTAGTAAGATAATAGAAGAAAACCCAGAGGGGTGTGTACATATATATACGTATATCTTGTACATGTAAGATGTAGGTGTGTCCTAAGTGTTAATAGAAAGTACAAGACACCCTGAATCTTGCCATGTTTACGAAACAGAAAAATAGACACCAGCAATCCTACCATCATGTATAACAATTACAGGCTTTCGTTTTACACTCACTTGGCAGGACGGTAGTACCTCCCTGGGCGGTTGCTGTCTACCAACATACTACCTAGGTTTTTTTTTTTTTTTATATGGTTTTAAAAGGTTAGGTTAAAGTTGCTACCTTTATTTACAAGCAAAGAGTTGCAACCTACCTTGGCTTGTTTGAAAGTATTTTTTTTATGAGATATACTAATTTGAGGAGGCTGGAGGTAGTGGAGATGTCGTGTCTAAAGGCAGTGTGTGGTGTAAATATTATGCAAGGAATTTGTTGTGTGGAAATTAGGAGATGTGGAGTTAGAAAACGTATTATTCAGAGGGCTGAAGAGGTGTTATTAAGGTGGTTTGGTCATTTAGAGAGGATAAAGGAAAATAGAATGACTTGGAGGGTACGTATATAAATCTGTAGCAGAGGGGAGGGTTGGATAGGGGTCATCCTAGGAAAGGATGGAGGAAGGGGGTAAAAGAGGTTTTCTGTGTAAGGGACCTGGACATGTAGCAGGCATGTGTGAGTGTGTTAGATAGGAGTGAATGGAGATGAATAGTTTGTGGGACCTGACGAGCTGTTGGAGTGTGAGCAGGGCAATATTTTGTGAGGGAATTCAGGTAAATTGGTTAGCCAGACTTGAGTACTGGAGGTAGGAAGTACAATGCCTGCACTTTATTGGAGGGGTTTGGGATATTGGCTGTTTGAAGTGACGTCTTAACTGTCTTATCTGGGCACCTCTGCAAAGACAGTGATTATGTGTGAATGATGGTGAAAGTGTTCCTTTCTTTTTTGGATCACCCTGCTTTTGTGGGAGACGGCTGATGTGTTGAAAAAAAAAATGTACCAATAGGGAACAGGATGAAGTTGGAGCCATCTGTTGGCCAGCAATTTTATTTGGTCATCAAGATTTATTTCATTTATGTCATTATGCTGCACGAACATGTTCCAGACTCGAGTCATCTTAGGAATAAATGATCTCAAATGAAGTGATCTGGAGAAGGGTACAGTTAGTGTAGTTGCTGTTTGCTGCCTGTCTTATTGTGTAGAAGCTCACTTCTTGCTGTGTGCAGAGTGGAGCCAAGTGTTGGCCTTGTACTTAACAGTTTGGCCACCCACATCCCTCTGGTGTTGAAGGCTCTACTGAAATGACAGGTCTGTCCAGGCATGGTCCAGACAAGAGATGAAGCATCTTGCTCTGTTCTCTTTTCTGTCATAAAGTCACAGATGAGACATTGGCGACAGGGAATCCAAGAAAGTGGAGCATACTCAAGGTGTGAGCGTATTTGTGCCTCACACAGAATCTTGCAACCTCTGCTATCGAGCAGATTTGACATACATTGTACATCTAAGTGCTTTATCACTCACTTTCCCATTTTGATGTCCTTAACCCTTTGACTGTTTCAGTCATATATGTATGTCTTATGAGCCACCGTTTTTGACGTTTTAATATGCCAAAATTCTAGCAGCTTCAAATCAAGCAGGAGAAAGCTGGTAGGCCCACATGTGAGACAATGGGTCTCCATTGTCAGTGTGCACCATATAAAAAAAATCGGGGGGCCAGTGGTGCAATGTGGGAATGCCATTTCAGTAGTCCTTGTTCATCATGCCTAGCAGTAAGAAATATCTAGCTCCCTGGCAAATCTTAGACTCTTCTCTTCCCAAGTGATGCTCTAACACAGACAGAAGTGTTGGTGAAGATCATTATCATGGTTTTGAGGAGTTTGTGACCAAAAACATTGCCCAGGATACCAGAAAAATGAAGGAGAATGAAGAATGAAGGAAAATTAGAGAGAATGAAGGAGAAAGATAATTAGTCCTTGTTCATGATGCCTATCAGTAAGAAATATTTGACTCCCCAGCAAATCTTTGACTCTTCTCTTCCCAAGTGATGCTCTAGTACAGATGGAAGAGTTGGTGAAGATCAGTTTCATGGTTTTGAGGAGTTTGTGACCAAAAGCATTGCCCAGGATACCAGAAAAATGAAGGAGAATGAAGGAGAAAGATTATTATGTAGGATTGAGGGGAAGCAAGCATCCGACCCCATTGTTTTGACACACGGTATGGGGAGTGAGTAATGATACAATATTTCATTTTGACAGCTACTCAGCACATTCAGAAGTCCACACACACACACACACAACACAAGCTGACTGAAGATAATAGCAGTTATATGAAAGTGTCCAGTGACTATATATGTGTATAAATATCATAGAAACCAGAAGGAAGGAAGGAATGAATAAATAAAGAAAGAATGAAGACAAAGGAAGGTAGGTAGGAAGGAATGATGACACATTTACCTAGGATAAACTACTAACACAACTGTCCCTGCTACTACAAAGGATGAAAACTGCTCCAGATGAGTGTTTTTGTCCTGTGCACATAGAAAAAAATGCCTCACAAAATGCAGACACACTCGTTTTTTATGTGTCGAGAAGTGTAAAACACATTGAGTGTAAAATTGGAAACCATGTTTTCAAAGAGTTCCACAAGCTGCAGAACTTCTAGAAACATGTCCAGTGACTGTACATTTGTATATATATATATATTATAGGACAATAGTAATAAAAAAATTTTGTATGTTTGTGTAAACAATTTTGTAAACAATAAATTGATAATAGGGGGGGGGGGGGGGGGGGGGGGGGGGGGGGGGGGTGTTTGTGCGCTATTGTTGTTTGTGTACAACAAGTGTTTACTATATGTATATTGCACCTTACTTTGGTCTCACAGGCCACATAAGATACCTGAAAAATAAAGTAGTGGATAAAGCAAGATACCTTCGAATGGAAGTAAAACAAAGTTTACCGGGTGAGTGGCATTCGCCGCTGTTGCCATACGCGGCTCATTTTCTGCCGAATTTACGCCTCTATATCTTGGTAAGTACTGATGGCAAAAAAATTAGTTTGGGCTTACAACAATCAGAAAAATAATCTTAACATTTTCATAAGATTTTTTTTTTTTTTTTTCGAATATTTTTTGACACCAGGAGACACTTCAGAATTTGGGGTTTCGACAATCAAAGGGTTAATAGTAGTAGCTGTTACCTCATTTTGAGTTATTTCTTTGGCTGTATTTGATCATTTTTTATTGCATCCTAGAATCACATTAATTTATATCACTGTTGTGTGTTTTCATGAAGTTCTTGATTATCTTCAGGTTCTGTCTACTGCTAACAATCAAACAGCAGCAGCTACTGCAGCAGTTCGCATTCCTTCACCTGCTGCCCCTACCCAAGTTAGTTTTCCTATGTGCTTGTGTACCTCTTACAAAGTGTGACTAGTGCCAGTTTGTTTTTATTTTGCATGTGAAGGGAGGCAGAAGAGGAAGAGAAGAGAGCACAAGACAGCTACTTAACTCCCTCAAGATTATATATAAAATATACAGTAGTCTAGGATTGTATTATAATGTCCACCAGTTATGCTTTCACAATTTCCGTGTAGTGTTTTTTTACTATGTATTTATGTACTTATATGTGGGTTGGTTTGCAGATCCTAAGCTCAAATATTTTATCTTATGATTCATGAAGATGGTTCCTTGGCTTGCAATTGCCATACTGTAGTACATCTTGACACTTTCAGGGTCAAGACCCCTTTATCCTGAACTTGTTCTGGGGTCCCAAAAATTTTCGAAAAAAAATTTTTTTTACCAGAATCTTAAGAATATTTTTCTAAGTGTTATAGAAGAACAAAATTTTGCGATCAATACTTACCGAGACATACAGGTGTGAAGCTGACAGAAAGTGAACCAGTTATGGCAACATCGCCGACTGCCAGTCACTCAGTAATATTATACAGTGGACCCTCAGTTAACGATTTTAATCCGTTCCAGAGAGCGTGTCCTTAACTGATTTTATCGTTATCCGATTTAATTTTCCCTGTAAGAAATGATGGAAATCCAATTAATCCGTTACTGCTGTCAGGAGGCTTGACAGAATAGTACTTCAATATGACACTATTATCAACTCTGCGGCTTATTTATCTATCACAATTTGTCTAATATGACATAATAAACAATATTAATAACATAGAAACATGACATATACTCTAGAATTAATAAAATATGTCATAATGTATGTGAGGAGAAAGTGCTGGAAGTGTTGTTGTTGGGTTTATAAGGGCCACTGAGAGAAGCCATACATATTAGTGGTGGAGGAGGCTTCTGCCACCACCACAATCCACAAACAATATATGGGGAAGTGGAATAAGAATATTTCCTCCGTAAGACATGCGTGTTGTAAAAGTCAACTAAAATTCCGGGAACAATGGGCTAGTAACCCCTTTTCCTGTAAAGATTACTAAAAAGAATAAGAAGAAGAAAATTGTCAAAGTGGGAAGTCTGAATGTGCGTGGATGTTGTGCAAATGATAAGAAAGAGATGATTGTGGATGTTATGAATGAGAAAAAGCTGGATGTCCTGGCTTTAAGTGAAACAAAGCTGAAGGGGGTGGGAGAGTTTCAATGGAGAGGAATAAATGGGATTAGGTCAGGGTTTCAAACAGAGTTAGAGCTAAAGAAGGAGTAGCAATAATGTTGAAGGATAAGCTATGGCAGGAAAAGAAGGCCTAGAAATGTATTAATTCAAGGATTAATGTGGAGTAAAATAAAGATTGGATTGTAAAAGTGGGTTACAATAAGCGTGTATGCACCTGGAGAAGAGAGAAGTGTAGAGGAGAGAGAGAGAGATTTTGGAAATGTTGAGTGAATGCGTGGGGAGTTTTAAATCAAGTGTGAGAGTAATGGTGGTTGGGGATTTCAATGCTAAAGTGGGTAAAAATGTTATGGAGGGAGTAGTAGGTAAATTTGGGGTGCCAGGGGTAAATGTAAATGGGGAGCCTTTAATTGAGCTATGTGTAGAAAGAGATTTGGTAATAAGTAATACATATTTTATGAAAAAGAGGATAAATAAATATACAAGGTATGATGTAGCACGTAATGAAAGTAGTTTATTAGATTATGTATTGATGGATAAAAGGTTGATGGGTAGGCTCCAGGATGCGCATGTTTATAGAGGGGCAACTGATATATCGGATCATTATTTAGTTGTAGCTACAGTTAGAGTAAGAGGTAGATTGGAAAAGAGGAAGGTGGCAACAACAAGTAAGAGGGAGGTGAAAGTGTATAAACTAAGGGAGGAGGAAGTTCGGGTGAGATATAAGCGACTATTGGCAGAAAGGTGGGCTAGTGCAAAGATGAGTAGTGGGGGGGTTGAAGAGGGTTGGAATAGTTTTAAAAATGCAGTATTAGAATGTGGGGCAGAAGTTTGTGGTTATAGGAGGGTGGGGGCAGGAGGAAAGAGGAGTGATTGGTGGAATGATGAAGTAAAGGGTGTGATAAAAGAGAAAAAGGTAGCTTATGAGAGGTTTTTACAAAGCAGAAGTGTTATAAGAAGAGCAGAGTATATGAAGAGTAAAAGAAAGGTAAAAGAGAGTGGTGAGAGAGTGCAAAAGGAGAGCAGATGATAGAATGGGAGAGGCACTGTCAAGAAATTTTAATGAAAATAAGAAAAAATTTTGGAGTGAGTTAAACAAGTTAAGAAAGCCTAGGAAAGTATGGATTTGTCATTTAAAAACAGAGTAGGGGAGTTAGTAGATGGGGAGATGGAGGTATTAGGTAGATGGCGAGAATATTTTGAGGAACTTTTAAATGTTAAAAAAGAAACAGAGGCAGTAATTTCAGCCCCTGGTAAAGGGAGGAAAACCATCTTTTGGGAAAGTGAAGAAGACAAATGTGGGGGGAGGTACGTGGGGCTTTAAACGTAAAATGAAAGGGGTAAAGCAGCGGGAATTTGAGGGGATCATGACAGAAATTAAAAGCGGGGGGGAAATATAGTGTTGGAGGGTTGGTTTACTTTTTTTTTTAAATAAATGATGAAAGGGGGGAATTACCTGGGGGATTGGCGAAGCATGTATAGCCCCCTTTAAAAAAGGGAAAGGGGCCCAAAAGAAAACTGAAAAAAATTATAGAGGAAAATTTAAACGATTATCCCCAAAAAATGTACGGGGGGGTTAAATAAATGAAAGAATTAAAAGGTAAGACAAAATGTAGGATTGCGGAGGGCAAGGGGTTTTCAGAGTGGGTAGGGATTGTAACAATTGTTTACTTTGAAGCATATATGTGAACAGTTTTTAAGATAAAGGTGGGGAAGTTTTTATTCCCATTTTTTGGGTTAAGAAAAGGAAATATGATAAGGGGATAGAGGAGCAATGTGGCAGATTTTGCAAGTATAGGGAAAAATTGGTAATTATTAAAGGGCTGAAAAAGAGTTTTTATGAGGATAGGGGAGGCTCAGGTTAGGGTGTTTAGAAGAGGGGAGACTTTTTCCCCCGGGAAAAAGTAGGTCTTAGACAGGATTTTTAAATGTCACCATGGTTTTTTAATAATTATAAGGGGGTTTAAAAGGGAATTAAATGCTGGGGTTTTTCGGGAGGGGGGTGGGTTAAAAAAAGGGAAAACCAAATTAAAAAATGGGAATTGACACAGTTTTTTTTTTGGCGATGAACTGTGCTTAGGGGAAATTTTCAAAAGAAAAATTGCAAAGGTTAGGGGGATGTTTTGGGAAATGTGTGAAAAGGGTTTAGAAATTTAAAAAGGGAAAACAAAAGAAAAGAGTAAGGTGATAGGGGTAAAAAAAGGTTTTTAGATAAAAAAAAATTGGTTTCAAATTGGGGAGGAGGAGAAAATGGAAAAAACCTCCATGGGGAAGTGGAACAGAATTCTTCCCCCCGAAGCCAGGGCGTTTTGTAAGAGGCGACAAAAAACCCGGGGAGAAAGGGGCTAGAAACCCCCTTCCCCCCGTAAAAATTTTTACAAAATTTAAAAAAAAAACTTTAGTTTTTTTTTTTGGGCCCCCCGCCCGGTGGAAAACGGCTAGAAGTTGAAAAAAGAAGAAGAGAAATGGAAGAAGTAATTTTTTTCAGATACTTGGGATTTTGACTGTCGGCAATGGATTTTTTAAAGGGATGGGTTAAAACTAAAATTTGATGGGGGAAAAAATAGGGGGAGTGGTGCTTGATTTTTATATGTGGAGTAAAAAAACTTATCTATGGAGGCAAAAAAAGGGAATGAAAAAAAAAGTATAGAAAGTACCAACCTTAAAAGGGTGTGAAGTTTGGGGTGGTAAATCCCGGGCAGCGAGGAGACGGTTGGGGGCAGTGGAGTGTCCTTTTTTTAAGGGCAATGTGTGGTGAAAATATTATGCAGAAAATTTGGAGGGGGGAAATTGGAAAAGGGTTTGTGGAGTTAATAAAAGTATTAGTCAGTGGGCAGAAAAAGGGGTTTTTTGAGGGGTTTGGTCTTTAAGAGAAAGGACCCCAAAGTAAAAATGACATGGAAACCCCAAATAAATCTATGGGGGAAGGGAAAGGCGGGTGGGGGTGGGCCTCAAAAGGGGTTTGGAGAGAGGGGGAAAAGGGAAAGGGTTTTGGGGGCAAGGGCGGGGAACTTTCCAGCAAGGGCGCACGTGTTAGATAGGAGTAAAATTGAGACGAATTTTTATTTGGGGACCAAAACAATCTTTTTGGAGTGGAGCGGGGTAAAAATTTTAGTAAAGGGAAATTCGGGGAAACCCCGGTTATTTTCATATATTTGGGGTACTTGAGTCCGGGAAATGGGAATTTAAAAATGCCTGCACTTGAAAGGAGGGGTTTGGGAAATTGGCAGTTTTGGGGGGATTTTGTTGTTTATCTTAATATGTGTATGTTTCTAGACTTTTTGTATTCTGACACCTCTGCAAAAACAGTGATAATTTCGAGTGTGGTGAAAGTGTTAAGGGAGTTTGAAATTTTTTTTTTTGGGGGATTTTTTCTTTTTTGGGGTCACCCTCCCCCGGGTGGGAGAGGGCCGCTTGTTTGAAAAAAAAAAAAAATTATAAATTTAAAAAAATACCCCTTCCATCCAACTTAGGCCCTGCCGACAAATGTCCACCGACTTACAAACCATACATCGGCACGGGGCCTGGGCCGCCCATGAACCAAAGGTATTACAGGGGGAAAAAGGGCAGATTTTGTCTCATCTTCAAAAATATAAAAATATCGCTATACACTTATTTCTATCACAATTTTTTTTAAAAAAAAAAAAATAAAAATAAAAAAAAATTTTTAAAAAAAAAAAAAAAAAAAACTTTAAAAAAAAAAAAGAAAAACCCCCCCAAAAAAAAAAAATCCTTTTAAAATTTTTTTCCCCCCCTTTTTTTTAAAAAAACCCCCCCCCCCCCCCCCAAAAAAAAAGGGGGAAAAA